CAACAACAATAATACTGTCACACACAGTGTCACAGTACCTGCAGGCAGCAGCTGTCCTGGAGCTCTCCTCTCTGATGCCGTCCAGGGAGCCACCTCGTCGCACGAACCTCCAGTCAGATGTTCCGTCACCTCACTCCGACCCCACTGGCCATGCTGCGCTGTGCCGCTGCCTGCTGGGAAATGTAGTTTTCAGCAGCAGCTCTCTATGTACCGTAAAAGCCGAGGCAGACAGGTGTGTGCGGGCGGCGCGGCGGTCAATCCCCTCCGTGTATGCATGAAATGTTTTGCGGTCCTTGACATGTTTTATACATGCAGACTTCAGGAGACCAGCTGCTCATATAATTGAATGTTTGGCTGGATGCAGCAATACATGTGCGACAGGAATCTCTAAAGATAGTGCTAGGTCTTGCTTTCGGGCTAGGTCTTATTTTTGTGGAAACACGGTAGAAGCCATCCAATTGTCACAGGCAGTTCTTACAATGTTAAACATCACTTTTATTAGCATGTAGCTAAAATATGTTATTTGAACATTGCATGCTGCTAGTTGGTTAGTTGTAATGCTGATCCTCTAGCTCTGATACTTTTTCGAGTGCAGTGGCACCATAGTTGTCACTCGTCGGCACGCGACAGCCAGCCAACAGATCCAAGCAATCCATTAGGCCCCTTTCACACGGGCAGTCCGATTGGGTCCACCTGTCAATTTTTCAGGCTGACCCGATCGGATGCCCAACGCTAGTCTAACAGACGGAAAAGTGTTCGACAGGCCAGATTGAGGGTATTCTGATGTCTCATATCTGTTTACATCTGATTTCCCCATAGACCATCATGGGGTCTGGTCATTTCAGGGGTTTTTTCCCTTCATTTAAAGATGGAGAAAAACTGGATGGACATGGGTCTCACAGCGGTGACATCAGATCTGTACCACTCAAATCAGGTGGGGATCCTTGCATGGATTCCCTCCTAATCAGCCTAAACAGGCCTACATTTCTTATCTGCATACTCATTCTGGGACCGTGATTTAAAGGAAAGAGTCAGCATGATGGCCTCCTAGCAATTTTAAGAGGGGTCAGTAAGGGTAGCTTCCATATATTGTCATAACAGATGTCCTGTAATTATTGGATGAACTGGCAAAGGATTAGTACCTCTATTATGGTTGGAGTTTATACTGTACACCCACACACCGCCCACAGTAATTGATCAATATAAATGTAGAGCAATCAATACCTATTACACAACTATGGAGTAAACCAGTTAAGGAAGAGAAGCATACAGAGCACATCAACCCCAAAACGGATAGATCGAGAAGTGAGCAAGCGACGGTATGTGTTCGCTCACTTCCCGATCTACTGAGCTGACCTGTGACAGTTTAATTGTCACAGGTCGGCTCAGATTATGAAGCTGAGTTAAAATCACTTGCCTCATAAATCTCCTTTTAAAGGAGTTGTAAAGTTCCAGCATATCCTCTCCGGTTATAACATCAGCATTGCAACAGTTCTTTTTGATGATGCAATCAAAGATTACTTGAAAAAAATCCCTTTTATGTATTGAGTGCTGCCTTCTGTCTGCCCATCACTATCAATAGTTTCCTTGATTCACAGTGCGCTTTGTCTCTCTTTCCCTGCTGCTTGATGTGATGCAATCTTAATATCTTAATTTTACATATCCCATCATGCATTGCTTCCAGTAGGTAATGATAAGGCTACATTGTCCAGATGCTAAGTTGTGTTTGAGAAGGCAGGTCCTGACACAAGCAAGTGCATATTGACAGGGCTGAGTGAGATTGTGTCAGTACATTGAGGAAGCATAACCTATCCTAAACTTCAGTAAGTAAGTTTACAAACTTCTAGATGGATATGGTTATTAGGAGTGGGATAGAACTTGTGGAAATTCAATATAGAAATACATATTTTAAATTATAGATACCCTTTAATGACTATGGGGTGTAACTGGGAACTGTCATCGGGACAGCAATTCATGGTGGTCCATAAGTGACTGGCAATCGTGTAAAATTTACAAAACATTTTAGAGGTAGCATTAAGATATTTTGTATCTATTCAAATGTACAAGACAAAAAACTGAGCACAGGTAACAAAAACACAACTTGGACCGTAAGTAGTTTATTTAGGTAGAAAAACAATAAATAAAACACATCAATAAATAATACAAAAATAATGTAATTGTACCCTAACCCCCCACCCCAAACAGCTGTGCATGGAAGATTTTTGATTCTATAATCTTTGTATCTATACTAAAATGTCAAACATTAAGACCTATTTACCAACCCATCTATTTCTTCCAGTCCATTTCCAAAAAGAATTTGGCGATTTTTCTCACTTTTAGTGTCACCAGGACAAAGCGAGCGGGAGAATCTCCCAAACGGCGACACAGAGAGCAATAAAAACCTGACATGTTCGAATCCATCTACACTAGCCAAAAGAAAAAAAAATTTTTGGCTTCAGTTGCACTTTAAAGAAACACACTTTGAATTTAGGAAATGTGTCCTTGCTGTGGGGCTACTGGTCCCGGTAGCCTCTTCTCCCCCAGGCTCCGGCTGTCTAAGGACCCGTGATGTCATCAAATCTAACGCAGGTCCATTTACTTGCATTAGAGGTGATGCAGAGTGACATACTACAGCCGGAGCAAAGGGGCAAGAGGTGAGAGCCGACCTCCACCGGACCAGAGATCATAATGTTTATTACAGCAGGCATATATTGTTTTGCTTCATATATAATATAGTGTTGGCTTTACCTCTAAAATTGAAAAAAAGGCAACAAAAATTTGCCCTGTGAAGTAACATGGTCAAAGGGAAACGGAGCAGCGGTTAGTAAAGTGAAATCGATGTCTAACAGGGTTATTCACTAAAGCGTGAAGGGTTCGCAGAAGGCAGGAGAAGTGAACAATCTAGGCCAAAATTGCTGATTTGGAAAAATTCTCCAATTCAGCTCACTTTCCAGTTCAGCTATGTTGTCCTAGATTGTTCACTTCTTCTGCCTTCTCCAAACTCTTCACCCTTTTGTGAATAACCCTGTAAAAACTGATTGGTCGCTTCTATTGCATTATCATATCAATGTTATTATCACATCATCGTCCCTTCCTTGCCACAACATTTCTCCCAGGAAATCCACCATCCCGTGTTTCCTGGCTCTCAGAAGGATTCCCACCACCTTGTCGGAGATCCGCACGTATCTGTCAAAGAGTTCCCCGAAGGTGACACGCATCTTGCCGTCTCTCCCTGGTTCGGCTATGGTGGAGATGATGAAGCAAAGATCTCTCATTTCCCGATGTATGTGTGCTTCCGCCCTCATGGCTCTCTCGGCTGTCTTTGTTCCTTCCTTAGGACGTCCATAGCCCTGGTCACCCTTCTGCAGCCTCTGGGACATTGCAAATTTGTGGTCAAATTCATCACTGAAGGGGTTCAGCTTTTGGGTCTCCGTGTGGTCGTCTGACCACTTCTCCCACCTCCCCTTGATGTTGTTCACTTGGCTGCACCGCTTGTAGGCTTTGTTAATCTTGTTAAGTCCTGTAACTGTCTTGTTATTTCTGAAAATATACAACAGATTGGGTCAGAGGTGACACAGTTAAGCAACATCAGCCATTGAAAATGAATCTCTTAGTAGTAAACATTGGCATAACTATAGTTGTACCTGCCAAGGTGGCTGCTATGGGGCCTGGAGTGGAAGGGGCCCCATTAGGTTGTTGAGGAAAATTAAACATGGAACATAATAAAGTACTGTATCAGGACTGTAAGGGTTGGAGTGATTGCAGTTGAAGACAACCCTAATCCCCTGAAAAGTGTAGGAGAGCTGATGTCATGTCTTGGTCTGGAGGGCTCAAATAAATCAGATATACTCACCTTATCCTCAGTCCTGTGACGGTCCGTGTTCCCCTCTCTCCCACTCCGCTCCAGATATGGAAAATGCCCCTCGGCCTCCTCACATCTAATGCAAGTCAATGGTCCTTGAGCACTGGAGTCCGGAGGAGAAAAGGTTGTGGGGACCGGTCTAGCAGCCCGGTGAGACAGAGTATCAGGTGAGTAAATCTGCTTTATTTGAGCCCTTGAACAACAGGAGCACTTAACCCTTGCAGTGTGGGTATAGCCTCTCTGCAATGGTAAGTTTTTTTTAATTCCCGGAATTCTTCTTTGAAGTGCAACTGAAACCAAAATGTTTTATTTTACTTTTAGATAGAGTGAAGAGGGATAATAACACCTGCCAGGTTTTATATTTCTGTCTATGTCCCCATTAGGCAGAGTCACCTTCTCTTTTTGTCCTGGTGACTCTTATTGCTGACATTTTGGGTTGTCACCAGAAATAGATGGGAAATCTTCCACTGGGGACACTATTTCTGGTGAGCCTGCTGACCATAAGAGATTTCCCTCACTTTGAAGAATTTCCTTTCACTTCCTGTTATGACTATTGGACAAGGAAGTGAAGGAAATCTCCCCAATGGGACAGAGATTACAAAAAAAAAGCTGATGGGGATTATAACCCTCCCTTACTCTTTCCAAAACTTAAAGGAGAACTATGGGGTCAGGGCTTTTCCCCTATAGTTCTCCTTAGGGTAACGGAAGGACACAAACTAGCGTCCTCCCGTCACCCTAAGCTCAGTATACCGCTAGCTACAGCTCGCAGTATACTGAGACGCCGCAGCCGGAGCGGATCCCGACATCGATGTCGAGATCCGCCCAGCTGCGTGAGTGACAGCTGGCTCTGCCTATCTAAAGGCAGAGCCAGCTGTACCCGCCCCTCCCCGCTCCGTTCCGCCAGTCAGCACTGGCGGATTGGAGGGGGGAATCCATCCCCTCCCCTGTCACGGCAGAGAGCTGTGACAGGATCGAGAGGTAAGCGAACGCCGGTATGTGTTCGCTCACCTCCCGATCTACTGAGCCGACCTGTGACAGTTTCATTGTCACAGGGCGGCTAGAACTATGAGGTGAGTGAAAAGCACTCGCCTCATAGTTCTCCTTTAAAAAAAGTTTTGACCAGCTCTACTTTACAGCAGAACTCTAGGTTTTTGTTTTTTATTCATTAACCCTTGCAGCGGGGCTAACCCTGCATTGCAAGGGTTAACTGCTCATTTGTGTCTAGGTAAAAAAAAGACTCACCAGAAGCTCCGAACTGGCTTCTTCTTAGACTGGTCCTTCCAACATCTCCCCCCCCTCCTCTGCAGCAGTCTGTGGTCCCGTAAATCAACATATATACACGGCGTATAAATGTGAAGACATTAAGGAAGATTCCAATGCTGCATGGAGGGGGAGACAGGCTGGAGGGAGCGCCGAAACAGCTGGCCGGCTTGGGCCTTTGGGTGAGTAAAACGCTGGCCATACACCTATAGATTATCTGCAGATTTTCTATGGTCAGATGGAAAAAGTGCAACAGATTCCTCCATCTACGCTAAACTGTGTGGATGGAGAAATATCCCACTGGGCCAAGCTTCAGTATCTTGCTATCTCGGCCCCACTGGCTCTCAAAATACCTGAACAATCTGATTGGATGCAGACATTGTTCAGGTATTTTGAGAGCCAGCGGGGCCGACTAGCAAGATACTGAAGCTTGGCCCAGTGGGAGATTCCTCCATTCACACAGTGTAGCGTAGATGGAGGAATCTGTTGCACTTTTTCCATCTGACCATAGAGAATCTGCTGATAATCTATAGGTGTATGGCCAGCTTTACTGTTATTTTAGCACCTAGACACAAACAAGCACTTAACCCTTGCAGTACGGGGGTAGCCCCACTGCAAGGGTTAATGAAAAAAATTCCTGGACTTTTACGCAAAGTTTATATTCTGTAAAATTGGAATGATAAAACAACCAGCAGCTGAAGTTATATCCAAATGTTAACTTTCTATAGAACTGAAACCCCACCCTTTTTGGTAAAAGATCTTTCCCATTGGTTATGTAACTTGAAGGCTATCCTCACTGATCAGTATGGAGCTTCGGAAGGTGGGAAGGGCTGGGCCAAGATCACCTTTTATTAATAAAGATGTGATTTATATATAACTTCAGCCGCCCATGTCTCTGGATCATTTTGGCATGCAGGATTTTTAATTAAAGGTGAACTCTGCCAGGTGAACTGGAAAGGTGAACTTTGAATTACACAACAGCTTTACTTTAAATTCTTTCATTTAAACATATTAGTTTGGAATGTTGATCATATGAAGCTTCTTTTACCTAGAATCACATTTCTTGCTATTACAGATATTGCAGCGCAGGTTCACTAAGCTTCTCATAAATCGTGTTGGTTATTGACAGAACGGATCACCTGTTGGAATATTGCCTGAGATGAGTCTGGCTCCGAAGCTTATAATGAAACTGATGTTCCCTGCATACAAATTTCTCCCAACCCTCATCTGATCAATGCCCCATGTGTATAAGCATCACAGACCTCGCAGTGGAATATTACAGCTTCATAAATGATTGAATATTTAATACTTTGGGGCTATTCAATATTTTATCCATTATCTGCTTTAAGAGAAATGAGAGATTATACATTTAATATGGGCTAACAGACCTTTGTGACGCAGGCACTTTAATATAAATATTCTTTTTTATGAATCAATTTACATGTTGGCAATAAAAGAACACGGATCGAGATTAAAGTTTGTACAAAAAATGAGAACGTTTGATAACCCCGTACTTCATATCAGTCATAAGGAGAACATGTATGCTACCATTAAAACACTTCCGTTTCCTGACTGAAAATTGTGAGAATATTTTTAAAGGTAATTGGAAAAGTCTCTAGCTATCCTTTATGATAGGCCCAACTTGATTTGTAGGTAGCTCATTAACTTATGCTTAGGCAGCTCAAAGTCGGACAGTCTTCAATAGGAGGTACTGGGAGCAACTCAGGGACAGAAAGCAAAAGAGTGCCAGACCAAAACAGTTGTTAGAGTCTATAAAAAAAGTTGAATTGTGTTGATCAAACAGCCAACATGTTTTTGGGGCAGACACAACCCCCTACGTCAGGGCTAGGAAATGAAGGAAATGACTAAGAATTGAAATCTTATTGCAGCTTTGGGTAGCTCTCCCATAATTTGTAGATTTTCCTAGTTTCCTGACAGCTCACTAAATTCACTCATTGCTGGGAGCTTGGTGGGACGCCAGCCAGAGTGTCCCGCTCACCTCCAGGCAACCAGTGACATCAGTGAGCTAGGTGGGAAGCCGGCCAGAGCGTCACAGGTTGCTAAGAGCTCCTAGCAATCTGGGGCGCTCTGGCTGGACACCTGCCTTCCCCCCCACGTGACCCAATGAGATGCCGCCTGAGGCAAACACCTCACTACAGGGACAGCGCTGGCATAACCTAACCAAAACTTTTTTTGTTATCGTAAGAAATAATTAGGACCTTTGTATTCCCGCTGGGTAATGCACCATCTCTATTTGTTCTAGAAGCCTTTGTCATTGGGACAGTGACAGGAAATCCAAAATGTTATGGTTGTCATCAAAACACGAGGCGAGGGTAAATCTTCCAATGGGGAAACATGTTCTGGTGACAATTAGTAATGAGCTTGGGGATAACCCAGTATGCCTGAGTTCATCCAAGCCGGCTCAAACTGTGACCAACACTCCCCCCTCACGGCGCAATCAGTTGCTGCAGGTGCATTCCCCAACCCACAGGGAATGCGCTTGCTGACACTGATTGAGCTAGGAGTGGGAGCGTTGGTCACAGTTTTGAGCACGCTTGAATGAACTCAGGCAAAATGTGTTTGCGCCAAGTCCAGGCTCATCATTAGTGACAAATGTTTAAAAAAGCTAGGGGAAACTCCCTAATTTTGTAGCGGTATCATCTTTCTTCCTATTATGTACCGGGGACAGGAAGTGTAGGGAAATTTTCCCAATGGGACACAGGCAGCAAAAAGTAAATTGGCGGGCTATTTATAAATTCCCTACTCTATCCATAACTGAAAAAAGCTATACATACACTACTATCATGTTTTTAGTTCTGCATGTGTCCCTATTAGGGACATCTAATATCACTATTTGTCCTGGGGCCCATTTCACTTGGAGAGGAAATGAGAGGGAATCCAACATTTCATTGGGAGTACCTTCCAATGAGAACACTTTTTTTCAGTGACAGCTGTCAAAGGTGGGATTCTCTTTCATTCTGCAGCTGTTTACACATACGGTGTCCTTGGGAAAGTAGGTACAGGGAAATCTTGCTGATGGGGACACAGACAGTGATAAAAACCTGATAAAGGTTATAACCCTTCACTATTCTAGCCAAAGCTAAAAAAAAGCTGGTTTAGCTGGTTTACACTTTACTCGCTAGCATAACATGAATATCACTCTACGGAATAACTTACAGTGAATTATATGACCGCTTAATTCTTGCAGTGTCCTCCTCCTTCTCCTCTGTGTCTTTCTTCTTCTCCTCTATGATCTCTATCTTCTCTTTTTCTGGTTTGACTTCCTCATTCTCTCCATAGCCACTATCTTCAGTTTCTAGGCTTTCACTTCGACACTTGGCAAGCTTTGGTAAAGTCTTGGAAGATGTTTCGGTTCCTTCATCATCATGTTCGATCTGTTTCCAGCTTTTGGTGAGTTGGGACACCAGATTCGAGCACTTTCTTCTGCGGGTTGGAGACGTATTGGCTTGGAGGAGTTTATCCATCATAAGTTCATCATATTTCTGCGTACTGGGATCTTTTTCATATCTTTCAGTTAAGTAACCAATATCCATTCCTTTCTCCTGGGCTTTGCTTGCAAAACTTTTTGTCACAGATTTTGTTTTGATGTGTGTTTCTTTAGATTCTTCTGAAGGTGATCCAACTTCTTTTCTTGGTTCCACAACAACTGGAGCTTTCAATTTAACCTTCAATGTTAAACAGTGGTTCTCCATAATCTCATCATCCGTTGTAGGCATCCAACCCGAGGGTTCTTGTTCTTGCTTTGTTGACTGTTCAGTTGCCCATTGTTGCCAACCTCTGGTTAAGCTGGATACTAAACTTGCAGTCTTGATCTTCCTTATGGCTCGTTGTGCAGGTTTCATTGTTTTTTCACAAGCCATGTTATAGTAACAATAATGTTCTTGTCCCACCAAGGAAGGATAAAACTCCGAACTTGTTCTGCTGAGCCACTGCTAACAGCTGAATGGAAGGTGCCGGTTTTTTAAATAGGCTGGTTGCTTTATGGTCTTGGAAACTATGCCAGGCATTTGTGACCACGATCTGCCCACTGTGACACTGTTACTTTTTACAGAGTGATGGCTAATGTTTCATCACACGAGCAGATGGAAATTACAGATGATAAACAAAGCAAACCCAGCATACGCAGTGCTCAAGGGCTGTTGGGTAATCTATAGCATTGTCCTTAAGTGTTGTGTCACAGACTTTCACAGAATAAATGTTACATCTTTTTCTATACTTATTTTTATATATGTTTATATAATTTAAAATGTAAAAAGTGTAAAACATATGCTTTTATTGGCCTACTATTGTTGTACTCATGTATCAAATATAATCTTAGATTATGTACATCCAGTTCCAAGACCAAAAATGTAATTTATTGCAGTCTACCAGTCCTTAGATGTGCTAGCCGAATTAGTTTTCTTTATTCAGGCTAAGTTCATTTTCTGCAAATACAGAATATATTACATGTCGATCCTGCCAGAATTGCATTGTCTTTATAACTTCTTGTGTACTGAAATGAAATCTCAAACAATGTTATCATTTTTCCCAGCTGTATTCTGTGAACTGCAAAACACCTCATCCCTATGTAATAGAGGTGGGGGGAAATGGAGGTGCTCTGTAGTCCATATCAGGAGAGCAGCCTAGAATGGCAAAGCTGCTCCTCAATAGATACAGTACAGTTGAGTGTTGTCATCTTAGAACAGGAATTATGTTACTGGCAGGATCATCAGGTGACAATAAAGAGAAAATAGCCTGAAAAAAGAAAATCTGGGAAATATTGAACTTACATGGGATGTCAGGCAATCATGAGGGAGCTTGATGGGAATAATTCTGTCCCACCACAGGTGGTCAATCTCAATGCTGGTCGGGGTGCAATTCAGATGATCCTTTGCTAAATAGCTGTTGCAACCCCATGTGGAATGGAGAAGGAGAAGAGGCCTCCCAAAAAATGGAATTGGAGTTTGCAGAGGTGCCCAGTCATGGTTTTTGGTTGTGATGACACATATAGGGACCAGTGACGTGCGGTACCTCTTGCTCTGGGGGAGGCATTCCTCCAGCCCCGCCCACCACTGACCAAAGCCCCACCCCTTGCCGGACGAAGCCCCACCCCTGCCGGACAAAGCTCCAACCAGTCCCCAAGCTAGTGTAAAGGAGCCTCCCTGTCCCTCACTGCTGAGGCGCTCCGTCCATGACAGGTTACATAGTGGGGAGGATTTCCTTGCTGTGTAACCTGTTAGATGCCGATCTGAATAGAGAGAAAGCTGTCAGCTTTTTCCTCCATATTTCTAGGTGAGGCTGTGCCTCACCTGCCTCCCCTGACCGCACGTCCCTGATAGGGACCTGCTGCAGCTCCAAAATTTCTAAGACCCCATTCACACTGAGCGATTTGTATTGCAATTTCAGCTCAAATATTGCTCAATGTAGCTAGTCCAATGCATTGCAATGGAGCTGTTCACAGCTCACAGCTCAATGTCGCCTGTAGCTTGTCGCTTGAACATGACCTATTTTTTCATTGGATTTTGTGCGATTTGGCCCCAATAGGCTTTGATAGACTGCCAAAATAAGCGCTACGTAGTGTGACAAAATGTGCACTGTAGCTCAATGTGCACTGTAGCCTTGCTGAGCCTGATGAAGGGGACCCTGCGTGGCCCAGAAAGAGCTAGTTTTGGTGACATGACGTTCCAATAAACAAACTCTTTGGACTGCAATACTGGTGGTGTGCTGGTGACATTTATTCATCTTTATACTGTAGCTCAATGTAACTCAATGTCGCTCAGCTCAAATCAGCATGGAAAAAGTGCTTTTTTTTATGTCGCTCAGTGTGAATGGGGTCTTAATGTCCCTTTCCTGAGGACGTGGCCACGATAGAGCCACAAACGCATAGGTGGTGAACCATTCCTACATTTTATGTTCAATAGAACTGCTATTACACAAGCTGCTTCAAACCATCTGTTATGTTTGGGCGCCTCTGCAAACTCTAATCCTCTTCTTTTTTTTTTTTTTGAAGGGGGGGGTCATTTTCTTTCCATTTTAGGCTAAGAAATGACTGTAATACATTTACTGGACAAGGGTGAGCTGTTTTACCAGTATATCTTCCCCCGAAAATGAAGTAACATACTGATTATGTAGATCTCACAGACTTTTACATACATTGTTATGGCGTAGAATCAACTTTTAAACTTCTGCTAAATCTCATCTTGAACTTTTTCTGCTTCGGATTAAACTCCAAAAGTAATATTCATAATACTGTAATTATAAAAATGATTTATATGCCTCAATGCTGGGTAGAGACTGTCATAATTAAACACTAGATCATGCCCATGGGGACTGAATGCTCCAATTATTAATATTGCAATAACAGCCGTCGATTAATTCATGAATAATCAGTAGAATCATATGGAATGAATCATCCTGGACAGTAAGCTAACACTCTATAGGTCCGTTTTATAGGAAGCTTTTTTTTGGAAGAAATAGGGGGGTACCAATGCTAACACTGGCTGTGTCTTGCTCCAGTATTTACTAGCTGTTCATCCTAACTGGATGACATTAAAGTGGAACTAAATCCAGATCGTGGTTGCTTAACTTTTGGCATAATGTGCAAATATGCACATTATGGTTCACTTATACTTACCTTTCAGTGGAATGTCAGGCCGAGGGGTAGGCAGAAGAGGCAGCCCCCTAAAAGCTTCAGCAGGAGGGGGCACAAAAGTGCCTGAGCTGCAGAGAAAGTTTACAGCTCATGGGGTGGGGGGTTGCACTTTGGCCTTTTCGCCTTGGATGCTGAAGGGCCTTGTGCCAGGACTGTCCCAGTGTGCCCTTCTCCAACAGTAGCAGGTCAAGGCTAGGATTGCTATCTCCCCTGTCACTTTGTCCAGTGGCACTCCTCTTTGGCCATGAGATGGCCACTGATGTAATTTCTGCACATGCTCACAGCAGTTACATTGACCTTGGCACACACTATATTCTCAGCATATTCTCAGTATGCGCCATGCAGTGTACATAGAAAAGAACTGCAAGGAGCATTGGTTATGGCTTCCATGGCCTACAATACCCATGAAATCACTGAAATAAAAGGGAAGAAAAGAAGCACCTGTGGAAAAAGTTAGAAATTAAACTTAATTTACCGCAATCTTCTACCAGCAGCACTAAGAGGATCCTAGGAAGGATGAGGATCCCAAAGCTCATGAGAAGTTGCTCCTGCAATGTGCTGAGGCGTGGTCTTGTGAGATTTGGAATACACAGAGCTCCCAGGATCTTGTAACAGCACCCTCACCCCTGATGAAGCCGTGGTTGAAACAGACTTTGCAATAAAATGCACTGTTGGGTCTACCTCTCTCCTTAATATTCACCTACTATTACTTAGGTGTACATTATGATTAATTGGTGTTCATTGCACATAGGAGCAAAGAATGTGTGCGCAAACTACCACTTGGGGGTGCTACATTAGTGAAGTGGACCCTTGGGGGTGCTCAAAGATCACAGATTTGGCAATAGTAAGCAATGCCAAGCAGCAGCTAGTAGAGCAAACCAGATACTGGCGTGTATTAAAATAGGTATCGCAGCAAGGGATAAAAAAAAGGTAATGCTTCCACTTTATAAATCACTTAACTTGAGTATGCGGTGCAGTTTTGGTCGCAAACTCTCAGGAATTACTATTTTTGAGGTGGGGACGCACTGGTGGTCCCAGCGTGCATTTTGGATTGCTGGACCTCCCTGCACCTCTTGAGGAGGAGTAGGCTACCTCCAGGTACACCTGCATTTAATTTATCGACTGCATTAATATGCTCCAACATGGAGACTCATGAATAGAGTTAGGACCACACTTTACAGAGGTGCCTTGACGGTGGCAGTGTGGCTTCTACATATTTTTGGCCAAAGGTTTGTGCAACTAAAACCTCTGTTTTTAACGCATACTGTTGACAAGGAAACAGTATGTGGCAGGTGTGCTGGGGATTCTTTTTGTGTTTTGTACTCTGTTATAGGTACCGTATCCCTTATATCTTTCACTTTTAAAAAGAACTGAATGAATAAATGCATTTAGAGCTACTTTTAGAGTCGCAGACCTGGAACAAGACCTGGAACAAGCATGCTCTAAACTTATAGCATTATTTCAGGTCATGTAATGGCAATTATTTATAATGACCAATCAGTTTTCAACTTTAGGCAGCAAGGACAACGAAGCTAAGGGGTTGATGAGGTTATTGCAAATTGTTGTTTGGCAAATGAAATAACGAGCTAAATTTAACAGATTGTATTCAGCATAATGAACACATTATCCAAAGATAAAGTGGAACGGTTTCCATATACTGCAAGTTAGTCACCATGTTCTGCAATTCGTTTAAGAGAACGTACAGTGCTGTCTGCCTAATGAAACCAGAAACTGTCTCATGGATTATAAGGAGCAGATGACACTGAAGATGACAAAATAGAGCCAATGCAATCTATACTTTAGTAGTGACAAAAATGTTGGCAGTTTGTATGTTTTTTAAGAAGGCTGAAACTAGAGAGGCAGAGCCAGCTGTCAGTCAGGCAGCGGGGTGGATCCCGACAATATTGTTGGGATCTGTCCCAGCTGCAATGCGGTCCTGCACTGTCAGCATATATAGGGCAATAGCCCGCTATATGCTAAGTTTTTAGGGTCACAGGAGGGCATTAATATATGTCCTCCTGTGACCCTAAGGAAAACGATGGCAATAAAAGGATGGGCCATAGTTCTCTTTTAATTTAAAGTAGAAGGAAAAGCTAAAAAAAATCCATGTTATTCTCTTCCACTGCATACATTTGTTAAGAAATATCTATGTAAATACCTTTTTTTTCCCCCTTCTTCTTCTGAGTAGTCATGTGACATCAAATGATCGTCGCTACGGCTGGTGGGAGAGAACACTCTTCCATGCTG